CGGTTTCATCCACATGGATATCTTCTTCAGAAGATCCTGATAGTTCTTCATATGCTGTCAACGGACAGATCAATACTTAAAAAACTATATCAACATTAAAAGGCATGTTGTAGCAATGGGAAATGATTGCTACACCTTCCAGTTCAACATTTTCCGATTTAGTAATTAAAAATATAATATAACTAACGGTCTATTAGTCAAAGTGAAAAAAACTCGATTCTCCTTAAATAAGTTCTCAAGTTCGAGTCTTGTGAATAAAGAAATAGACGTTGGGAGAGCTTCCCCCTAATAAGGTCTGACACGGATTTCGGATTAATCGGGACTCAATGTAGTTACTGGATTCCAGGAGATTAATACAAAAAAAAAAAAAAAGAAGTTAATTTACTTCAATAAAAGTTTAAGGGCTTAATTAAAAACTTAGATAAGTTTGAGGGCTTAACATAGGGTTTTGCTATTTCAGTTTGATCGGGTTAATGTTCTCAGCTCTCACTCAACTCCTCAGTCCTCTGTCCTGAGTCCTTAGCAAGGTGAGAGGATGATGGTTCGTTCGACGGCGACGACAACGTCGGCGCGGCAGCCGCTCATCAGTCGAAGAAGTCGCGATTGAGCAACGCAGAGCGGTCGGCCTACTTCTCTAGGAGGGAGTACTCCGTTCCGTTCTCCAAGAATTTGCTCGTCGCCGAGCCGTCGGGTGACTCGGGTCCATCAAGCCTCTCGTTTATGGCCGCTCCGTCGAGAACAGGAAGGCCATTTTCTCACTTTTTTTCCAAACGCTCAAGCGTAAGTATTTTGTTGATAAGCAGTTGTTTGTTTAGTTAGTTAGAGAATGATGGTTGAATCAAAATTCATGTTTCATTTGTTCTCAGATCTTTCTATTATCAAGGATGGAGATGGAAGGTAAGGCAATAAGCCTATGATTTGCCTTGAATATCTTTAGATGTTTATGTTAGTAACTTGCCAATTGGGAATGCTTATTTTTACGATATTAGTTAGTACCAAAATAAATGGTAGCAGAGTTTCTTGCTTGAATTGTTCTGAATGCTGCTTGATATTGCTGTTGCAGAGTCAGGAGGAATTGATTTACATAATTGCATATGACATTCTTTTTGGTCAGGTAATATATGGTGCATCTACCATTTATGTCTGTGGTTTTCTATTAGTGATTCCCATATGTTGGTGGTAATATTGTGGAATGAGCTCTAGTTTCTAGGAATTTTCATTTAATGGTGATGCAGAGAAATTTCTAATGTGGCTGCATAGGGATGTTTTTCAGTTTGCTTTAGCTTGGATTTTAGTAAGGAAAAAATTAAAGTGGGTTGAAGACTTGGTAATGGTATATCTTTAACAATTCCTGGTGAGTGTTCAAAGGTTTTCTTAAATCATGGTGATTTTTCCGCTTTCAATATGACACTTATTTGGACCATGGACTAATGAATTTTGTTAAGCACCCTAATTTTATGAAATTTCTGCTGCTTATATTAGTTTCTTTGATACCCAGGTGTTATTCTGCTAAAGCAACAACTAATAGATTGTGTTTGTGCTTTCCTTTAGCCTTTTCTTGAGTTATCTCTGCCTCGCTGGGCATGTGATTTTTATAAGTGAGCCAGTCTCTTTATGCATCATGTTTAGTGATGTACTGATGCTATCGTATCTTTTCTGTCTTTTGTTTTTCCTGAGTAATTCAGTTGTTTCTAGATTTTGAAATTTCGTTATTTGTCTGATGCAGATATTTCTGAACCCTATGTTATTGTGAACATTCTAAAATCGGATTTCAATTTTGCCTTGCATGATCAGAGAAGCAATACATGGTACGTACTGAAGGCTGCGCTAAACTGTAGAACGTAATGCATTGTTTTAGATGTTTTCTTTTGTAACCTGAGTGAATTAAATAAGACGTCCAATCTACCAGCGCACTCTGTATCCAAAAAACCAGAATGAACCTCTATAACAAACTATGGGGCCAAGTTGATATTTTGTATCACAGTTTATTGACTAGACATTTCCTTTTTAATCCATTCTTCCTTTGATTTTTCATAGTCTATTTTGGATAGCTTATGAATTTTTTGCCTTTTGGATCCAGTTTTCACATAATTTGCTTTACTATTAATATGTTTTTTTCGGGTCTTGAATAGGTTGAAAAGGATGACATAGTTCCTGACTTCTTAAAGCTGCCACCCCTTCTATATTTTTATACTTGAATGCTATGAGGGAGCGCCACTATCCTCATTCAGCGATTGCCATTTTCTCCTAACCTCTCTAAATACAGTATGTCTAGTACTACAATTAATCAAGCTTTTAGATGGAAGTTCTGCATGGGGATTTTTAAAGCTTGAATCGCAAATATCCCTCATTCTCCAAGTTAAATATTGTCACCACTCAGTATTTGTCTGTATGATTGCTGCATTTTTAATATAGCTGCTTGGTTATCATGGATACCCGAGACTAGTTTAGATTCTTCTAAGTTTATTAATGCTTTCTGATGTTTATCTGCACCATATTCATAGACTGAGCCAACACCAATGAAGTATAATAATTTCTGCTTCCTAGCTTAAGTTATCTGACTCCTTCAGCTGCATTTTACATGGTTTCAAATTCTATGTTGCAGGACCGTGCCATTCTTTTGCAACCTTCCTGCTTTGGATCTGGTACCGTCGCTGAGAGATTGGACCATTTGCTCCCTTGTTATGGTGCAGGTAACTTTCGGTCTTCCATCTGTTGGTGATTAAATTTATATCCTCTTAAAGGGGTTTTTTTTCATTTTTTTGGATTTAAGATCTTCAATTCAAAAACAGAGAAAGAGAGAGACAATACATAAGGAAGTACCGAATATCATTGTTACATACTTATGATAAGGAAAACGAAAAACACACAATGCAGCACTCAAACACACAAACTCAGATTTTATTTATAACCCCTGGGGGCATGGGACACTGAGTCACAGACCATAACATGAAACTCATCACCTTTGTTTAGGCAATTTTAACCTCAATGGTCTTGGGCTTCTTTGGCTCCGGCGGGGGCAACTTCTCCACAGTCACGGTCAACACTCCATCCTGGCACACGGCGGAGATGGCATCGGTGTTGGCATTCTCAGGCAGCACAAATTTCCTCATAAGCTTTCCGACCCTCCTCTCCATCCTCAGATACTTTGCCCCCTCCTTCTCTTCCTCTCGCTTTCTTTCTCCGCTGATCAACAGCACATTGTCACTCTCCACCTGAACTTTGATGTCCCCCGACTTCAGCCCCGGCATGTCGACAATGAACACATAAGAGTTGGGGTATTCCTTCACATCGGCCGGAGTGGCTGCCATGGCCTTGGCGTCTCGCACGTAGGTGCGAGATGGGCCGCTGATGGACTTCTCGGCATCCTCTGACGTGTCCATCATATGCTGGATGGTTTGGAGGAGTGGAGCGTCCAAACCCATGATCCTGAAATCCATTTTCCTTTCTTTGATGTGGGAATTTCTGTTGGGATTTTGTGGTTGTGTTTGTAGCTGTGGTAAATTCAATCTGCTTTTTGCAGCTCATTCCACAGGGTCCGTATTTATAGGGAGCGCCGCACTGGGCATGGAAGTTTCTGGAAACGGAGTTGGGGGTGGAGGAGTTTCCAGGAGGTTCGGCAATCTTCTTTCTCTCGTGGTTTCTAGAATGGTTTGCAACTCTCGTATGGGGGACTTGACCGACAAGTTGATTACCAATTTTACTCATCTTGTTTTGATTTATTTACACTGTTTTGGGCTATGGGCTCTACCTATCATGGCGGCCTTTGGGTTGGGTTGAATTTCATTATTTATTTTTTCAAAGCATCAACTTATATCAAAATAATGAATATAAGTTCTAACTTTAAAAATCTATTAAAAAATGGCGTTTGAATAGGGACACTGCTATTTTATCCCTTTTTTTTTTCAATAACATGAGTATATAATTGGGAAAACTAATGTAGGCCAACTATTTTATTTTTGGGAAAAAAATAAAAATCAGAATATCATAATATTAAATATGTTAACACAGTTAAAACGCATAATTTCAACTACATGTACAATTGATGG